AGACAGACAGAGAGAGACATAGAGACAGAAAGCGAGAAATCACCCCCCAGAGGGGGATGGTCACACCGCAATCCCTTCTCCTCCATTCTCCTCTCGGGATCTTGGGCACGCACGCACACGCGCCCGGCGTGAGTTTTAAGCCACCGGGTCCGGGACACGAACCGCGGTCGACTACGTGGGAGTCCAGCGACATAGCCATTACGCTAACTGCTGGTTCCCAGCCAACTAATTTTTGACAAAGGATATAAGACAATCCAGTGGAGGAAAGAAAGTCTTTTCAATAAATGATGTTGGATAAAATGGATAGCTATCTGCAGGAAATTAAATTAGACCCCCATCTCTCACTATTTATAAAAATTAAGTCAAAAGACTTAAACATAAAGCATAAAACTACTGGAGCAGAACACTGAAGAGACACTTCAAATACTGTAGTTGATGATGATTTCTTGAATAAGATCCCTAAAGCAAGGGCTATAACACCGAAAATAGATATGTGAGATTACATCAAGCTAATACACTTCTGCACAGCAAAGGAAATGATAAATAGACATTCCACAAAATGGGAGAAAATATTTGCAAAGTATACTTTAGACAATCAATAAAAACCAGAATATAAAAAGAACTGAAAACAGTTCACACACAGCGCCTCCATTCCATAATAATACAATCAAAACAGGGCGATTGAGCTGAACTGACAACTCTACTGAAGATGTATGAGTGGCTAAAAAGCAGGAAAAAATATTCAACTTCTCTTATCACAAGGAAATGCAAGCAAAATCTACATTAATAGATATCACCTAACCCCAGAATGGCTATGATAAAAACAACAACAACAAAGAATAAAAAGTACTGGCAAGGTTGCCGAGATAAGGGAACCCTTGTGCCCTGTGCCCTGCTAGTGGAAATGTAAATGAGTATAGTTAATGTGAAAAAAATCACAGAAGTTCCTCAAAAATCTAAAAATAGAATTAACATATACACTGGACTTCCACATGGTCAACCATGGTTTGAGTCCCAGACCTGGTGACTTGCTTTCTCACTTTCTCTCTTTCTCTCTCTCTCTCTCTCACTGTTTAATTATTTAAATAATTAAATTTTTTTTAAAAAAGAACAATAAAATCCTGTCATTTGTCATAAACCTAGAAGATACAATGCTAAGTGAAATAATCCAGACTATGACAGACAAATACCATCTGTCCCACTTAACATATATATTGAATGTCCGTCCACACTCTACGGTGGGAACTGAAGGCCTTGAAATCACAGAGATATAGAGTAATGATAAATCGTAGTAGTTGCTTGAGGAAGGATGGGTGGAGGTTTGTGATAACATTCATAATTGACCCAAGAATGCAGATAAATAAGAAGAAGAGGCTATGGGATGGTATATCGCAGTGCAGCAAAAAGTATGGACAATGTTATATATGTTTTTTTAAAAAGTTATTCACAAATGTGTACAACACAATGTTATATTCAATGTTGAAGAAGATAAACATGAGTATATCCTTGATTTGATTACTGTACACTATATGTATGCTTTAAAAACTACACCATAGCCCACAATGATATACTCTGACTATATGTAAATAAATCATAATTAATAATAATAATAATTTTTTAAATGAAAGAACTTCCGATTTCCAGTTATATTGGAAGATATAATTTAGCATAATAGAGTTAACTGGATTATCTGTAAATTAAAAAAAAAAATTGTATCTATAGGGATATTGTTAAATTTTTATTTTTTGTTCCTATTAATAATTTGATAGTACTAGGCTCAGAGAGAACCATTTGTAGTACACTGACTCTGAAATTTTCTGAGATTTATATGTTGTATTTTTATGAATGTTACAGATATTCTTAAAATGAATTCTTATAAATTCTCCAGAAAAAATCAATACTGTATGGATGAAAACTGTAAACAAAAAACCTTGCCCTCTTCTTTTAATGGTTTGAGTCCCAGACCTGGTGACTTGCTTTCTCACTTTCTCTCTCTCTCTAAACTAAAATATTCCTGGCTTTTTTTTTTCTTCTAAATAATTAGAATTGGATTTCTTTGTATGGGATTCCTATTTTAGCAAATGTACACTGTAATAAGTGATAATAACAACTTGTAGCGGGTTGCTGTAGAATTAAATGGATAACAAATTTATAAGTCTTGCTTTCATAAATGCCTGACACTTGCGCTCAATAAATATTAGCTAACTTTATTTTTAATATTTTTGTTATTGTTCCTTTTAGTCAAAGCTTGTTCCTGCCCGCTATGTTTTAGAAATCTGTTTCATGAAAGAAACTCTGAAGTGTTCGTTGCACTGTTCACTGTATTTGATGAGACAGGTATGCTTTGTTTTAAATAAATGTCAGTCTGTGTGTTAACCTTTCGGTGAAATATTTTGGGGGAAAATTCCACATAGAAGTTTTTATTCCAAAACAAACTTAAAATTGAAAGCTGACTTTTGTGTTTGTAAAAGTTAGTCACTTAACACACTGAGTTTTTGATTATGTACTTGTAGAATAAATTTCTTTTTAAAAAAATACAAACGTTTCTTAATAGAAAACTTCATATAAATGTAAACTACATTGTTTTAAACTCCAGTGGTTTGATTAAACTGTGAAATGGAAAGTTTTGTTATCTTTTTAACAACATGGTTTACTTACTTTTACAAAAATATTTTTTCATCCTATAATCAACTGTGCAGAAGAAACAGTTCAATACAGTAAATCTTAAAATCATGATTTGAAAAGATATAATTTAGCATAATAGAGTTCATTCTAAAACATAACCTTGATAATTAACATTATATCATTCTAAGCTAATTCAAAAAAGAATTTTGTGTACATGATTATTTTTTCTAGTCATTACTTACCCTTTTTCATATGTGAATTCATCTTTCAGGGAATTAGCTTATGATTCCCCAATAAAGACAGATGGAATGTCAATTTTCTTTAACACGTCAACTGTATAGAAGAATAATAAAATTATTCGTAAAAGCCTAAACTTAGTATATAATCGACCTTTAGTCACAATAGTAGCAAATGCAACAACAATTACCATCAACTTTAGTTATCTATTGGTTGATTTTCTAAATTACAGATTTATGCTTATCATCAAAGTCATTGAAAATATTGTTATATTTACAGCAAATGGTAACATTTTATATATATGTGTGCATGTATATATATATAAAATGTATATATATACATACACACATACACACACACACACACACACACACACATATATATATATATATATATAAAATCACCTCACTTAATTTAATACAGTCCCATGAAACTGAGACAAATTTTACTACTCCCATTTGGTTTCTTCCTCTGTATACATAACTTAAACTGTTAGAGAAAGAAACTCTAGGCTGTTTTCCCATATAAGCCTTAATCCTTAAAAGAGAAAAAATTTCTTTTACATACCCATTTCCAGGAGAGATATAAGCCAGAGAATGTAAGAAAACACCACTTTACAACAGTCTTTAAAATAACACCACATAATCTCTATCTTTCCAGAATGAAAGGCTGACAGAGGTTGAGAGAATAGGTCAAGAAAGCTGGGTAAATTTCTACTTCCTCCTAAGCATGAAGTTCATGGTAAAGCTTTGTGTTTTGATTGTATCTTAAGAAAGCTGACTCTATACCCACATTCAAAACCAAAATCAAATGCTATCAAAAAAGAATTTTGTAAAAATTACCCATTACTAAGGAATAGACAAAAAAAAAAAAAAAATTCTCACACACACATATACACATATACTCTTAAGAGGACAAGAACCAAACTGGTTAGTCAAAGAGATTTTAAGTACTGTTTTAATATCAATGGGCCCAATAAATTTATATCAATGGGATCATACAACAGCAGGATAGATAGTACAATTTTCCCACTCAATGATGTACCTCAGATATCCTATCAAGTCAGTAAATACACATCTATCTCATCACTTTTAGTAACTGTAAAGGCTTTATTATAGGATTATACATACTTTAGGGCAGTATTGTCTACCTTGCTAGGAGATTTTTCTATACAACATGTCGGTTTAAAATTTTTTTATTTGATACTTAAAACTTGGAATTAGGGACCAGCAGGTGGCATGGTGGTTAAGGCACTGGACATCCCCACATGGTCAACCATGATTCAAGTCTTGAAACTGCTGACTTGCTTTCTCACTTTCCCTTTCTCTCTCTGTCTCTCTCTCTCTCTCTCTCTGTCTCTGTCTCTGTCTCTCTCTCTCTCTCTGTGTGTGTGTGTGTGTGTGTGTGTGTGTGTGTTTAAACTAAAATGAATGGATGAATAAATAAAATTAAATAATTATTTTTAAAAACCTTGGAATTATATACCCTTTGTAAAATGCTTTCTTTCATGAAGGTGCTCACATAAAGTGAAGAAAGAACTTTTGGCTCATAACTACTGGCTTATACATAATGGACTTACATCATCTCTTTGAATTATGATATCTAAGGAGATATAGGAAGTGCCTCAATTTAGTAAGAAGATGGAGGTCAAAATGCTGTATGCAAATATCAATAGCCTTCATGAAGACTGTAGGATTATTTACCTACTGAAAAACCAAACACACTCTAGTTCACAAAATACTTCTAAAAAACACTAAGTTTTAGTTTTGATTTATAAAACAACTCTGTGAAGTACATACTGCCAAACAGCATTATTATATCACAGATAAATTATAATTTGAAATGGCCAGCCTCAATCTCTCCAGATTCATGTATTCAAGTGCCTATTCAATACTACCCTATTGCCTAGTAGATATTTCAAACTTAATGTTTCTCAAACAGAACAACTTCCTATATTCCTCCCTTTTCTTTATTCCCTATCATCTTATCAACTTCAGAATATACCCACAATCCCAGCACTTTTCATTACTCTGACTACAAATACTCCAAATTGCCACCATCCCTGCCCAATGCTGCTGCAATTCCGTGGATGGTCTCTGCCAGTACTCTTGTCCATCTTTCACCTTCAGTCTACTCTGAACAGCCAAAGGGATCCTTCGAAAAGATGTCAGATCATCTCACATCCCTCTTTTAAAACTATTCACAATCAATTCCAAAGCCCATATGGTGACCTTCAAGGCTCAACATAATTTGCCCCTGGCTCCTTGTGTATGCTCACTCCCTGCCACTGTCTCCCTGTTGTTCTTTCTGTGGCTTTCTGCCACACCCTAGAAACACCAAGCAAGCCTTTGAACTTGCTGTTCCCTCTCTGGAACACTCCTCCTCCAAAAATCTGCATGACTCAGCCTCTCACTTTAGAATTATGCTCAAATATTGGGGCTGGCAGGTGGTATGGTAGTTAAGGGCTCTGGACTCCCACATGGCTGACCACAGTTTGAGTCCCAGACCTGCAGGCTTGCTTTCACACACACTCTCTCTCTCTGTCCCTCTCTGGCTAAGTTGAAATAAATAAACGAAGTTAGATAAAATAATTCTAAAAAAAAAAAAAAAAGAACTGTGCTCAAATCTCAGTGTCTCATAAGTGCGTTCTCTGAATGACCTTATAAGGTCATTCCTCTCATTCCTGCCACTCTAAATCCCATCAGTTTATGTTTTTTATCATAGCTCTTGACACTATAGTACATCTATTTGATTATATGTTCCCTTTTTCTCCCCCACCTTAGAATATAATAATAATGATATCAACAATAAAAACTGATGAATAATTAAATGATGGCTAAGAACCAAGTAGTCTTCAGATGCTTCATAATTCTTAATTTAGTCAATCCTCACAACAACCCAGTAAGGTAAGTACTATTATCATCCTCATTTCACATATCAGAAACAGAGGCACAGAGATGTTAGGTTACATAGCCAAGGTCACACAGTTATTAGATGGTAAGGCTGGGATTCGAAGCCTGGCAGAAAGCACTTTCTTAACTACTGCTCTGTAACCTCAATGAAAGGCATAAAAGCAGAGCCTTTGTCATTCCCTGCTATAGTCACGGTGCCTAAAACGGTATGCTGCTAAACAATATTTGTTTATGAAACAAGGCATGGAAAAAAGGAGAAGTAAGAAACCCAGAGATTCTGATAATTTGGCCTGGTTACATAGTTAGGAATCTGCACAGCCTAGAAACACACTTGAGGCTCTTGACTCCTTATCTAAGCTCTTCCTGCACTACCATGGCCTAGATGACCTCAGATATCTTTTCTCATATGACCTTCACAACCTTGTGAGGGCAAACAAGAATTAAAGTCATTCGTATTTTTATAAACGAAAATAATGAATCTAAGTTAACAATTTCCCCCGAAGGAAGCAGGCTGGTTCATCTATCGACTAGCCTGGAATAAAACCTCGTGTTCTGGTTCTAAAGTTGGTGTTCTTCCCACCACACTCTGCCTCCTCCTGAAGATGAAGAATGTTACTGGCTCAGTGAGTTAGCCCATCCTATGCCCTGACTGAAATAAAAATGGGTACATTCCTTGTGTGAAGTGTTGCCAACAAGAAGCGTTAAAAATTCCTTTTATTTCAAGACATTGAAACCTCCACTCCTAGGTAAACACCAATATTCCTTGTAGTTGGGAACGACAGGAATAGATATAGGTCCCTTTTGATAAATCTCTTTCTTCTATCAAGTAAGAAAAGATAAAAATGGTAAAGAGCTTTACAACATTTGCCTTTGGATATTCAGTGTTCAAACACACTTTCACAGGTGAGGATGAAGCAAAATATTGCAGAAAGTAACCTAAACAATCAAGTAGAGAACCCAAATTCTGAGTAATCTCGGAAATATAACAATTCAGTTGGAACATTTCCATGGCAACAGCAGGATTATATGGCTATGTGCTACTTTTAATATTTAGCACATTTTTCTTAGGAACTGACATGATTATTACAAAAAGGTTTTATGGTATCATAAGACAAAATAGGTGCTAAAGGGAACCAACACTTTCAGTCTGCAAAATTTTTATTATAAACATGTCAAAAGATGGGACCAGCAGTTAGCGTAATGGCTATGTCGCTGGACTCCCATGTAGTCAACTGCTGTTCGAGTTCCAGACCTGGTGGCTTAAACTCACGCCGAGTGCGTGTGCATGCGTGCCCAAGATCCCAAGAGGAGAATGGAGGAAAAGGGATTGCAGTGTGGCCATCCCCCCGAGGGGGTGATTTCTTGCTTTCTATCTCGCTGTTTCTTTCTGGCGAGCGCAAGCGCCCTATAGCAAAAACCTCTAAAAAAAAAAAAAAAAAAAGAAAAAAAAAACTATACAGAAATTACAACTGGGGGCTTAAATTAGAATTCAGGCCTACCTCCAGAGTATGTGTGCTCTCCACTTTTCCAGTAATGCAAACAAATGACAAGAATTACTGACCTGGAATGTATCACATTGGATACATTTTTTTTTAAGGAGATAATTAAAAGAGGCAAAGAAAAAAATGTGTCAAATCTGCAGTACCAACTGAACTAGTTATTTGCTAAGTAAAATCTCTTAATTGAGTAAGTCCTCTTAATTCTCATGCAGTGGTTGTCAAACTAACTGTTCCTGAAATGAAAGAACTTCTTAGAGGTACTTCATAGATTCTACAATCACAAAGATTTAATCAGCTAGAAATTTTAAATGATAATTTAAAATACTGTATAAAGAAATTAACTAAGAGGGGGCCAGCAGATGGTATAGTTGTTAAGGTGCTAGACTCCCACATGGCCGACAGCAGTTCAAGTCCTAGACCCGGCGGCTTGAAATTCATACCAGGCTGGTGTGCGTACATGCCCCAAATCCCAAGAAGAGAATGTAGGAAAAGGGACTGCAGCACAGCCATCCCCTCTATCCCTGGGGGGGAGGGGAGTGTGATTTCTCACTTTTTCCTTCTCTGTCTCTCCAGCAAGTACACATGTCCTATGGCAAAAATGTCAGGAAAAAAAAATTAAATAAGGAACTCATTAGTAAATTCTACTTTTTATACATTATAATGCTGTCTCATTATACTAAGGGTAAGAAGGCCAAACAACAACAAACACTGTCACAGGCTATGAAGATAGTATCTTTGACTAAGAATTATAAAATATTTCCTACTGAAGATGTAGCTGTTTAAAGTTCTAAATGCATTCCAACGTATTACGTATCCGTCCATGGCTACATATCTAATCTAAGCTCTTTATCTTGCTCTACGCGCGCCTTAAATGTACGATCAATGGAACATAAAATACTATGGTTATGTGCTAAAAGAAAAACAAAAATAAAAGATCTAATCATGAATACAGATGGTGAATCATGTTAGCTGCAATTAGAAAGATTTTGATAAAACCCACAGTGCTCTGAATGATAGAAACCACATTAACTGAAACAGATACTTCAAAAGTCACTGTCTGATTAAAGCCAATTATTTCATTAAAATTGGCTCCATTCCCCTACAAGCTAATGTTTAGTAGAAAGTAAAGAAAGATATTCCCATTTTTAGTTTAAAACTATGGACATGTCCATGTATGTCAAGGACTTAATAGCCAACCGGTGTAACGTGACTTTGAAATTCCATGAAAGCAATGCTATTTAGTAACCCTTAGGTCCTAAAATCCAAAAATCTCTAAATAAAATCACAAAAACTCTTCTACGGCAGTCTTAATTCAACATTTTTAACCTTTATTTAAAGTTTTGATTTTCCTATGGTTTTAACCAAAATATCAATAAATATCACACATAGGGAAAAGAAATGAACTGTCCAGGAAAAAACAAGTCAATTCCACCTCTAATTAAGAATAAAATTGTCCCAAGACAATTTTAGGACAGTTAGGAACTGGGAATTATCTTGTAGAGATGAAGTTTTGCTCTTTAAATAGAAAATGAAGGAAAGAAAATCCTGCCAGCTTTCAGTTTCAAATGGTCTGTCAAACAGGAGAAGAAAAGTGATACCTGTACTTACTGTCGTTGGATCCCATGCTAATGAGGTCATCCGAATCAACATTGTGAACTATGGCTGCTTTGTATCCTGCTCTCTGAGCATTTAAGACCTGCAAGTCAGGAAACGGTCACGTTATGAGGAAGATAAATGTTTATCATTATGTCCCTCAACATCAATAAATATAAATCAACTAGTCCATATCCAAGACTAGGTTATGTGTATAAACAGGAATAAATCTCAGGTGTGTTCTTGAAGTATAATGGATGTTTTTATGAATGATTATCAAGGACTTCAGATATCTTCTTGATTTCACTCATAACATTAAGTAAAATCAAGTGCAAATAAAGGCTAGGGATACAAACTAGAACATCAAAAGGACTCAAAGCAATAAATCTGTCTACCCTGAAAGAGACAGACTTGCTGTGCATGGCTCAGAAGTCATCACACCTTCTATATTTAATTCCACCTCTGCCACTTATTAGTGGGATAAATTCATGCAAATTACTCTTTTTTAATCCTCAGTTTTCTAAACTTTAAAATGGTTAATGACAATATTTTTGCATATATAAAATAACACTTTTTAAATGCTTAATAACATGTCTAACATATAGAAGTGAGTCAAACAAAAGCGATTATCATTCATTATTAACTTAATTACCAGCACTGTTCTTTACAATCTGGGCTGACCCTGCAGTGCTGCAGAGGAAGAGGAAGCCTGATCAAACATGGCTGACCAGGGTTCAAATCCCACCCCTATGGTTGCCAGGATCCTAACTGGATGGAGAATTAGAAGAAAAAGGACTGCAGTATGACCAGACCCCATAAGGGGATGCTTCTTTTCTCTGCCTTCCTCACTCCCTCCATTCTACTCTACTCTCTTTTCTCTCTCTCTCTCTCTCTCGCTCTCTCGCTCTCTCGCTCTCTCGCGCATACATACAAGTAAGCAGATGTACCCTCTTCATAGTAAACAGAAGAAAAATGTTCTTTAAAATTCCTTTCTAAGACTTTCAAACTATTACAAATATTGAATATCTCCAGCCTGAAGTTACTTACTTGGATACGATCTAGTTATTTAATTTTCCCTAAAGTTAGCCTCCAATGTAGTAATCTTTGCACCATAGAACATGGCTGGATATGTGGCAGAATTTTCTTACATGAAATACTTGAAGAGAACTGAAAAACATACCTCACTTTAAAAATAATAATCTGTTATAAATAAAAATAAACTCTGACCTGAAGTACATTTCATATGCTATTTACACCATTAGCAAAATAAAATATCAGGCCCAGCTACAGTGGTAGGGCAACGCAGATCTTGAATCAACCTAGATATACTGGGTGCACCCCCAAATACGCCTGTGATTCTGGCTGACTAGAAGACTAGGAAATGGGTGAAGTGGATGGGGTTGCAGTGTGGGAAGACCCTGTCAAGATTATTTATGTCTTTCTCATGAAATAAACAAATAAACTTTCCTTTAAAAATGAGGATCGGAACCAGCAATTGGCATAATGGCTATGTCACTGAACTCCCATGTAGTGGAACTGCGGTTCGAATCCCAGTGGCTTAAACTCACACCAGGCACATGTGCATGCGTGCCCAAGATCCCGAGAGGAGAATGGAGGAGAAGGGATTGCGGCGTGGCCATCTCCCCTGGGGGGTGATTTCTCGCTTTCTGTCTCTCTATCTGGCTAGTGCACGTGCCCTATAGCAAAAACCTCTCCATTAAAAACAAAAAAATGGGCCAGTTTCACAGTGCAGCAGTTATCTACAGACTTTGCAATCCCTATCAAATTTCAACATCATTACTGATATAAATTTAAAAACTAAACTTAAAATTCATAGAGAATCACAAAAAAAAAATCCTGAATAGCCAAAGCAATCATTAGCAAAAAGACCAAGGCTGAAGATATCATACTGTTTAATTTCAACCTTTACTACAAAGCTATAGAAATTTAAAAAGAATGGTTCCGGCAATAAAACAAGATCCACTGATCGATGGACCAAAACAGAGAGCCCAGAAATGAATCCACACATGAGTGGTCAATCAATTTTCAAGAAAGGTGCCAAGATAATCTCTTCAATAAGAAGTTTTGAGAAAACTGGATATCTACATGTAGAAGAATGAAATTGGGCCCTTATTTAAAAAAATGGGATTACAGACTTAAACATAAGACCAGAAACTGTGAAATTACTATAAGGAAACAAGGAGGAAAAATTACTCGTCATTAGTCTGACCAATAATATTTTGGATTTGACCCCAAAAGTAGAGGGGGGGGAAATCTAAAAAGTTTCTGTACAGCAAAGAAAACAATTAACTGTACAGAGACAACTTAAGGATTAAAAGAAAATATTTGTAAGACATACAACCAGTGAAGGGTTAAAATATATAAGGAGTTCAAACAACTTAATGTCCAGAAAAAAAAAACAAAAATTCAATTAATAATGGATTAAGGGATTTACATAAAAATTTCTCAAAAGACATACAAATGGCCGGTAGTCAAATTTAGAAAATGCTCAATATCACTAAAATGCAAATGTTCAATGGGGAAAAATAAGGGTGTTGAGGTGTTGGGTAATGTTAATAATTTGATTTAACTATTACACATTGTGTTAAAAAATCATGACATCACTTTGTATCCCATAAATGTATAAGCCATCTTCAAAAAGTTCATTTTAAAAATACTACTTAGAAACTGTGCGTGGGGGAACCAGCAGTTAGCGTAATGGCTATGTCGCTGGACTCCCACGTAGTCGACCGCGGTTCGCGTCCCGGACCCGGTGGCTTAAAACTCATGCCGGGCGCGTGTGCGTGCGTGCCCAAGATCCCGAGAGGAGAGTGGAGGAGAAGGGATTCCAGTGAGACCATCCCCCCTGGGGGGTGATTTCTCGCTTTCTGTCTCTATGTCTCTCTCTGTCTGTCTGGCGAGCGCACATGCCCTACAGTGAAAATCTCTCCAAAAAAAAAAAAAAGAAACTGCGTGTGGATTTTAAAATATTTTGGACCAAAATAAATGTGTAACTTCAATTCCATTTTTCCGTGAACTTTTTGAAGTTCCCTACATAATTATAGATTGCCAATTACGATAAAATACAAAATATATTGTTATAATTTTTAAAAAGTAAAAATTGTATGAGTCAGCACATGGCATGAAGATTAAGGTGGTTGGTTCCCACATGCTGACTGCATGGTTTAAGTCCTAGACCCAGTAGCCTGAAGGACACACCAGGCACATGTGTGTGCATGCCCAGAATCTGAAGAGGATAATGAAGGAGAAAGGACTGTGGTATGGCCATGCCCTGTGGAAGGTGCTTTCTTACTTTCTCTTTCTCTGTCTCTATCTCTCTCTAGTGAGTATGTGCAAACTAGAAAAAAAATTGTAGTTCATTTCAATAAGTTTTATTGTTTTTTTGTTTGTTTTGTGTGTGTGTGTGTGTGTGTTTATTTAAGAGAGATTTTTGCTACAGGATGCATGTGCTTGCCAGAAAGAGAGACAGAAAGTGAGAAATCACCCCCTGGTGGGGATGGCCACATTGCAATCCCTTCTTCTCCGACCACCTCTCGGGGTTTTGGGCATGTGTGCACATGTGCCTGGCATGAGTCTTTAAGCCACCAGGTCCAGGACTCGAACCGCAGTTGACTACGTGGGAGTCCAGCAACATATCATTAGGCCATCTGCTGGTCCCCATTTCAACAAGTGTTTGTTGAATTTATGTAATGAATACAATACTGTGTGCTGGGCACAATGGAAAATTCAAAGGCAGCTCAGTAACATTCATTATCCTATTTATGAATATCCAAACAAATCAGGTGCTTTCTTCCCTCTGTGTACCTGTTCATACTACCATTTCAGCCTCAAACAGCCTTTATCTTTTGATCGCTTATCAAGGCATCAAATTCCATCATCTGCATGGACCCACACCCTGTCCCACATGGCATCTCCAAGTACCCACATTAATTGTTCCCTACTTACTTATGGTAACTTGTTTATATTATTCGTCAAGAGCTTACATAGTGCCTCATATTTAACTTATGTATACATGTACTATCCCATTTCCAAAACAGGCCTTCAGGAGGTCCCACAGATGTCTACATAAGACCTTTCCTGGTAGGACAAGACAAAATAATCATCAATCTTGTGAGAGACTTTCTCACTCCCAAATTATTGGGTCGTCACAAAAGTTGTAACATATTTTTCTAGGTTTTTCTATGCAAAAAATGCATTATGATTTTTCCAATGATGCAATATTATCAACTACTGATATAAATTAATTGATTTACAGCAATCTGCTGTGTGTGCGTGTGTGTAATTAAATCTAGCTATTAAGTTCTAAAAACTGTACCAAGCAACTGAGGAAAAACATTTATTTTATGCATCCAAAATGCAATTGTTTCTATGAATACAATATAAAATGACATCTAACAAAATTTAAAAATCCTAAAATAGAAAATTAGAAAAATCACAAAAATGGGAAGGAATTCTATAAGCATCATGTAAACTCTAAAAATAGAAGCATGTTTTCACATTTTTAACAAGTATGAAGACTTCTCCAAGGTTTTTGTTGTGTTTTTATTGACGCGTAAAATAAAAGAAATGGAATTAAATCAAGGAACACATTAACATATGGACCAACAGGCTTATGAATACAAACAAGGAAAATATACCCATGTTTATGAACTATAAAACTCGTGTCAGTCAAATTAAATTACATTTTCAACTAAGCAGCAGCTGGTATTTTTAAGAACATACAAAGCGGAAATAAAACCTAAATGGTTTAGTAAGAATGTGCAATGTTTTTCATTCTTAAGATGTAAGCTCAAACACATAGTGTCAGATGAAAGCAAAGAACTCAGATTCATGAACAAAAGTACACACAGTGAAAAAAAATAAATCCAAAACAGCCATCCAAACTGAACGTTACATAAAGTCTTCTGAATTGTATTGTCAACCTGCCTTTATAAGGAGACTGATCAGTGCTCTTAGCTCAAATTATGATAAAGGCACTGAGTATTTTACATCTAATCAACAATCAGAAGCAACTAAATTATGTAGACAAGGTGGCACTTAACCAAGAGTTTCAAAGAAATAGAAGACCGCTGGCTTGTTATT